GGACGTGACAGGAGCTGGGACGTCTTTCTATACCTTTGTGGAGCTGTTTGCGTAAGGAGGTGATTTCGGCAGAAAGCGTGCTATCGGGATCTTCGTAAGCTTCCTTCTGTTCCACCTATCAACTTCATCAGATTTCTTTTTTTTTTTTCACTTTCGGCTGCAGCTTTGCTTCTGCGAAGACTTATCTCGAGAATCGGCTCAAAGAATTGCGGTACTTGCACTCATGGAACTGCTGTATAACGTATCGAAATCGGTGGCGTAGCTAAAGGGTAACACATGAAACCCGTGCCCTTAGCCCCCTCCCCCCCCCCTCCACCCCCCATTTCAATTTGTCATCCCATACACAGCGAAAAATGACCATTTCTAAAGTGTGCCTCCCCCCAGAAAAAAAAAATTCTGACTACGTTCCTGATCGAAATGCTGAACAGGTACTGTGCCATTTGCAGCGAACGGGTCACCAGAGTCGTACACGGAACTACAGCAACGATGATAGCGAGACTGACTCAAAGAACGATTCGCTGTATCTACTAACCCTTGGTTGTAACGTTATTAAAGACCTTTAGTTTTGTTTGTGAGCTAACGTCTTCACAAATACCAGGTTACAGTAGCTCTTAGCAGCAGTTGCAGAGCTGGTAGAGACAGCCATTAGCGCATAATTAGTCGCCTGTATAGTGGTAGTAACGGCCGGTAGTTCCGCCGCCTAATTTTTTTTCACCAACATCAGTATTCGCATCAGAAAAGCATACGAAAAGTATCGGGAAACAAAACAAACGCTAGAAATTGCGTCACAACAGTGGGCTTCAAAAAAAAAATTTTTCGACGATTGAGGCTACGCTGTACTCTACTACGGGAAAGCATTAAACTGTCCCGGTAAACATCAGACAACAATGTGTTTAGAAAAAACTGGTGAATGATTTATAGTACTTGGTACTCTACTATGGGAGAGCACTAGGCCCTCCCGTGGGCCTCACATTGATACACAAAGGACGATTACTGTCAAAGTAGGATAACATATAGTCTGGATGGCTTCCCGTTTTGTGTTTAGAAAAAGTAGTTAACGATTTAGAGGAATTGGTGCTCTACCATGGGAGAGCTTAGAGCCGTGAGTCGTATTGAGCGCTTGAATTATGCTATCAGTGCATTACAAAATTGTTTATTAAGGCTTTTAATTGAATACATAGTCCCCGAAAAGGGTCTCAAATTTGGCTGCGCATCGTCAGGCGTCGCTACCAGCGCTCGCCTGCCCATTTGTAAACCAGCAATGCGCAGATTATAGGAACTCTACGACTAACAAAAGCTTTAGTCGTATGTAACACAAGAAGACCCTGAAACAGTATTTTCGATGTTTTGTTAGCGCTAGATTAGAGCATTATCAAATCATTCGCACCATAAGTTTAGCGTCGCGCCGTGTACCAAGGCCGCTACAGCTAAGGCGGACTCGGAACAAGTTTTTCCGCTCCTTTTGGAGCAAATTCGTTCCAATGGCAGAGTGAGGGCAGGAGTCGAGTGTTCCAATGAGGCAGCGGGAGTGAATTCAGAGCGGGAGTTATTCCGAGGAGCAGAAAAAGTTGCTACGCCGATTTTGGTGGTGCTGACCGGAACTTGGCCGGACGCGCTCCCTCCGACAAGTTCAACCGCTTGGTGGCGCCGCCACTGTCGCGTGTTTTCGTAATAACGGGGGACTACATGGCAAACTGGGCAAATCATGCGGAATTCCTTCCTCTGCTCATAGCGACTGCTCCGAGTCAGAAAACTTGAGTTCCTTTCTGCACGAGCTGTCCATCGGATCACGTCATCAACGCCAATATTACTGCGTACGAGAGGTGTTTCAACGGAATTCGACAGCGGAAATGGCGAAATGAAATGACTACACGCAAGGCATTCTGGGAAATTCAAAAATATCTCCATCCTGTTTGCTTCCACGCTGCCTGGGTTGTTTGAATTCTGGATTCGGTGGCGTTGCTACACACCGGAATCGAGTGCTCACTCACAGAGTCCATCGGCTGCTCCTACACAGAAGTGAACACTAAGAACTTAACGATAAGCCGAAATATCCAATGTATCGTGTTCCAACCAGCATTATGCACTAGAGTTACCAACTACGCTCCTAATAAGTGGACTCACGCTTCTTTATTCAAGTGCTACAGCCCTCTAGTTGATCCTTGCGTTTTCGAAGCTTATTGACATTTTTCCGGCAAATATTTCACTGCGCCTGTAGATGACGAACTGTACGTGAGCGTTGAAGTCAAATACACACTCTAGAAATCGATGTAGCACGCTTCTCGTGCACTGGTTAACGTGCAATGAACAGTGTATAAACTTCCCTGTTAACTTGAGAAAGTAAATAAATGTTACTTTATGTGTACCTAAATATGTGTATGTAGTTACGGACATTTTCGCTCTACAAAATAAACAGTCATTTCTTATACCTGCTCTTCGTATATGAGCAAATTTATGTCATATAAAAGTACTTTAAAGGATGAGAAAGCTTCCTTCGGTCAAAAAATGGCGCTGTATAGGCCCGTGTGCTGGGATTTTGTCGCACGTTAAAGAACCCCAGATGGTCGAAATTTCCGGAGCCCTTCACTACGGCGTCTCTCATAATCATGGGCTGGTTTTGGGGCGTGAAACCCTATTTATCAGTCAATGAATTGAAAAATGGCGCAGAAACAAATTTTCTGCGCCATCATTTTTGTATCATAAAGGATGCCTCCATAACTTCTTGTCCTCTTGTTTTTTGCAACGAACGAACACCTTGGATCCCAGCTTTTCATTTTATTGATGCCCATTACATCAACCCACACGTGTTGCCAAGAATCCCAGATTTGCGCACTTCAGTCTCATTTTGACTCTCTTTTCAATTTCTTACTGGACGAAAACTAATTTTCTAATCCTCTGAAAGATTTCTATCAGGACGAATTCACTCATACATATCAACGAGAATGAAGTTAGCTCATCCTATACGTGAGAAAATATATTAAACAGCGCCTTATTCTGTAGATCTTCCTATGAATACACTAGATGGACCTTTGGCACCAGAGTCTATGGGAGCTGCAGCGCACGGCGCTTCAGCCAGCGTGGGAATGATGGCTAGTACACATATTTGCCTAGTCCTGCCTGGTCTTCGTTCTTTGGGCTCCGTGTGACTCGAATCTACTTCGCCGCAGTCCAAATTTCAGCAAAGATTTAGCAGTTACGCTTCAATCATTTCGAACTTTTCAGGCTCACGAATTCAAATCGAGTCACGAAGTTCCCAACTGTCCGTTATTTCGTCCGAAGCGAAACAAAACACAGATATCAACAAAGCCACAAGGCGCGTTCGATACCCGCAAGTACGAACACTATAGGTACTACTAGCCAGGTTTCTGTGCTGCCCATCCTTCCCATGGTCGTTTAACGATCGCAGAGCCTGAGTCCCCTCCTGTTAATCTCAGGAAACTGTGGTATTCTTGGCTTCTTTTGTAGTGAGGAGTAGCTTGTTAGCTCGCGGCATCTGGCAACCCTGCGACGCACTTCAAAAGTAACTCGCACACTCAGCAGCACCGTCCGCTCCAGGTGTCGACTCACCTCCTCCCGGAGTTTTCACTTTCGCCCCTGGTTCCAGCACTTTGTACCTTGTATACCAAGCCGTCGAGAGGAAATAGCCGTTATTCATCATGCCTGACTGCGCCATCTTGTTCTCGATGCGCATATTTCGGTACTTTCGTTTTGCATTTGAAACGATTTTTCTCTCCTTTTTATTTCCATTCCCAGCTCTGGAATACGTGCAAGTGAAATCGTTGTACGTGACGACACCGTCGCATGTACAGTTGAGAAATCACAAATCGAGCTCACGACGTTTCCAATCTGACACAGCTCGGAGCTTCTTGCTCCTCGTTTTATTATATGTTTTGATGAAATATGCACTACCCCAGTGGTGTTAACTGTGATTCAGTGCAGACATAAACAATGTGTTTTTTATGCAACTTAGGCTTGTAAAATGAAAAAGGAACAACGCTTTGCTTCGCTACAGTGAATAAAGGTAGAGGAATCATGGACCTTAAAATAAAAATTTAGTTCCACTACTGCTGATCATTTGGTTTTCAGGGACTACAGTACGTGCCATATCGGCGTGATTTCAACATCTCAGTTATTCGCACATCTATATAACAGTTGTTTCTTTGTTCATTTGACGTGTTATTGCTTGGAATACATGACCAAGGCACTACGCAGAAAAACTGTCTTTGAAGGGAATCTTCTCGTGAACTTGGAGATTCTCAAGTCTGTCATCTTCTCAATAGAAACCCCTATTGTATGCAATTTGTGTAATCGTTTATGTGAACAGACAGACAGACAGACAGACAGATACAGACAGACAGACAGACAGACAGAACAGACAGACAGACAGACAGACAGACAGACAGACAGACAGACAGACAGACAGACAGATAGATAGATAGATAGATAGATAGATAGATAGATAGATAGATAGATAGATAGATAGATAGATAGATAGATAGATAGATAGATAGATAGATGCAAACACAGACAGACAGACAGACAGACAGACAGACAGACAGACACAGATAGATAGATAGATAGATAGATAGATAGATAGATAGATAGATAGATAGATAGATAGATAGATAGATAGATAGATAGATAGATAGATAGATAGATAGATAGATAGATAGATAGATAGATAGATAGATAGATAGATAGATAGATAGATAGATAGATAGATAGATAGATAGATAGATAGATAGATAGATAGATAGATAGATAGATAGATAGATAGATAGATAGATAGATAGATAGATAGATAGATAGATAGATAGATAGATAGATAGATAGATAGATAGATCATTTTCTATCAGAGGACAGTCTTCGTAGGCATTCGAGTACTGGTTGCTCTACGTCTATTAGTCTGTTGTCAAGGCGGACCAATACAGCAGCTACTGGCAGTTCAATTCGCAAGAGTAGTTCAAAGCTCCAATGTCTGGATTGAAACATGGCTAAATGAACAGAGAAACTTCTTCACAGAATATATTTATTGTACACATCCTGCACATGTACATTTCTTCTCTTTTCTCAAGAAAAAGACAGGTGATGGCATGTACTCTTCTTTACTCTTTGATAACTTTGATAACAGTTTTCATATGTACAGTCACAACTCACAAAGCACTCACACTTGATTCATCCTTGAGACTGAAAAGAACAGATTTCACATATGCACAACGGGTCGAGTCGATGACTGGCCACTTAACAAAACTAAAACAAACAAGAAAACAGAGTAATAATGGAACATTCTCTATAGGCAAAGGTAAGAAATGCGATAAACTAAGTGAAAAGCAGTCATTCAACACTCAGAATGTCAAAGGTCACAGCACACGTACACAACATAGTCCTACACACATTCCGTATGGCAATCCAACGAGAGCCAAAGCTTGGCTTGTACTCAAAATAAAACTAAACTGGTAGTCGAGAAGGAACAAGGGAGAACGTAATCCTATATTTCAACACTCGTTTCATTTAGGGGGTGTTAGATTTACACAAAAGATAGAGAAAGAAAATGGCAACTAACAAGAAGATAAAGGCTTTTCTCACATTGAAGTGCAACATTGGGCATCTGATAAAATAAACATATCTTCTCAATAAGGTTGCACTAATGGAAGAAGTCAGCCAATGCTTCCTGTGAAGTCGTTTGAATTTGGCAGTGTACGTATATCACCGGTGTCTGATATGTAGGTCTAGAGAATGCTCCATGCGGGATAATAAATGGAGAACACACGATTTGGGCAGGGCTTATTCTATGTGTACACCAAACTAAACTTCAGCGTCCTATAAGATCAGAGAATCACTCAAGTGAATTTGGTGAAAAGGCGAGGGCTGCAAAAGAGTATGTTTCAGGTCCAATACAAGAATAATATTTTCACTTGCTCTGCATGTAAGAACACAGGCTCCATATCCTAATTCAGTACAGAAAAACAACCTTAAGATGGGAGGTCTTTATGTACAAAAGTATCTAGAAAAGTTGGCAAATATTGCCGTTCTTACAAAACTGAGAAATCACGTCGAAAGTAGAACCGTTCATTGGTCATTGAGGAATTATCTTAGCTCATAGAAGAGCGTGAAAATTGTAGAAAAGTATGATGTACAGAATGCCAGTCTTCACCAATGAAAACACAACAAATGTCATTTCGTCATTGCAGGCTTTGTTTTCAGTGAAAGGCTAGCTTGCAGCAACGGGGTCAGTGCCAAATGCAAGCCTCTTCGAGTACCATGACATTGACACCACTGGTCACGTCAAGAGGAATGTGATAATGAAAAATTGTGACTGAGAACGTTGTGAATTATAAACAATAGCTTTTTAGTGATGTTCGTTGTTTTCAGTAAATAACAGTCAGGTTTAGCGCTTCGGTACGCACATTTCGTATGCACTGGTAAATAAGAAGGCACAAGTCTTGGTTGAGAGGTAAAATATTGTGAAAGTGTCTCAGAGTGTGACAAAATATGATCACTTCACACTTATGACTAAACAAAAACTGGTTCGTCACTCTTAAAAGCCCGAACATCTCATTTGGCTTCTCAACAAAGCCCCGTTAACAATACCGCAGTCAGTGCAACTTCGCAGTGTAAAAAAATTAACGCATGTTGTCAAAAACTGCTCTCCCCATATTTAGTGTCTAATGAGGTTAGATTTTACACATCATGACATGCCATTTATATTACGCATATTGTGTCAAGTGCCCTTTCATCACACGCATCATGACAAGTCAATTCCACCACAAATCTCGTGAGATACGAGTATGTCAGTTGCACGACACACAACATGACCCTTCTCACCTTCGTTACGCATGTCACTACCTGGTGTCACTTTCATAAAACATGCCAAGTTTGCTGTTTTCAGTTTATGCATGTGTGCTTCGTGCACTGTTTTCAAAACAACAGCTAAAGATACGTCTCATTGTCCTAACTACACATAAGAAAATAGCAGTAGCAGTAGCATTAGAGAGCCATTTTTGTTAGCTGCGCGTTTCCTTTATGGTAGAAAGCGAGGATACTCATGACGTCGTTCTCGCTGTCATCGTATGTACAATCATGTGTCATGGAGGAGAAAGGAATTATGAACATTATAGTAAATATTTATATATGTACTAGTGCTATATTACAGTAACGCTCAGCGTAAAGAGACTATGTTTCTAGTTGCGCAGTCATGCTTGGACGTTTCCGTTCTTTTCCTCCGGCTTCTCTCCGTCATAAGTCTGCAAAAGAAGAACGAGAATCCAAACATTCATCCCGATGTCATTCTGTGTTCAACATTGCAGTCTGTGTTATAGTTAACAAGTCGGACTAATTGACTCTAAAACTTCTCTACTTTGTTCATTATTCACGCAGCCAACATTATCATTTTCGCAAATTACTTTAATAAATGTGTGTCAGAAAAGGTTGTTTGCAACGTATGGCGCCGTCTACTTTTCTCCTCTCACACAATAGTTGGCCCCGCTAAGTAGTGAACTAGTACAAACTTTCAAACATACAATCATGGATGAACGCTCAAGCCTTCTAGTCTCAGTTCTATAAAAAAAAACAAAGGGTCCGCTAAACGGAAAAGTTAACAAAACACAACTACTCAGCCAAATGAACGATTCACACATAACATAGAAGATTGCCCAGAATTTCTTACAGCCACAACTTGTCAAAACAATCTTAAGTCACTTGTCATTTGTCTCCCAAGTGCCGCACCTTAACTGCAACTGTTGCGCTTCTACAAAAGAAAATACTGACAGCTTTGGTGCAAAGGTGACGCAATGAACGCGATAGCGAGAAATTGGAAGGTGACGCGCAGAATGGCAAGCAGACAGAAACATGCGCCGCGTTTCTCACGCACAAAGGATGCAGGAAACGTACTCACTGGTACAGATGAACGCGAATAAGCGTCCCAGTTGTTACTTCACTGTGTCTGTAAAGCGCGCCCTTTTTGCAAACGGAGACTGTAAAACGAGTAAAGTAACTTTTGTGCGCCCGGTAAATGCAACAGAATCGTTCCGGTAAAAGCCAAAGGCATACGATTGTCCCCCCTGCGAGATAAGCGAGTGCACGTGTTAGCGCCCTCTCTCCGTGAGGCAAAGTACACGGGGAAGATGAGATCACGCGCAGTAGCGTCGTGACGATCTGGCAACACTAAAAAGCGGTCATGTAGGCTTCCTAAGCAACGCGCGCTCATTGCGCCATCTCGCTGGTAAGGCTGAAAACACGATACTTATTTCGCCCCAAGATGGCTAACCCTAGCGGTAAATGGTAGATATAAATAGGTTGCCGTTTAAACGTTTAAGTTCAAGGAAGTGCTCCTTTGTGGCTCAGTGGCTAACGACTTGCACTCACATTTCAGAGGTAGGACATTCGATTCCACGCGCCGTAGTCTTTTTCTGTATTATTTTTTTTCTTGCGTTTTCATATATATAGATAAGTATACATACACGGTAGATGACAGCGACGGCGAGACGGCAAAATCCAGCCGAGAGTGACCAATAAATGTGTTCACAAACTCAAAAATACAAGCAACATGTAGTTATTAGGCATCATATTTTAAATCTTTTATGGTCCTGCTTTCATTCTACCATTGTTGCCATACCTTCTCTTGTTCGTCTCCCATCTTTGATTTTCCTATAGCAGGGTGTAGTTGGGGCTGAACCTACATGTTTCGGCGGTAATGAAATAAGTTACTCGCCAGAAAGAACAAAGCCTCGAGCTTTTTTTACCTTGCCCCACTTCACCCACTTTTTCTGAGCCAAATAGCCGGCCTTGCCCCTGTGCCGCACAATGTATATATAGAGAGACAACGAAGTGAGTGCCAAGTTATTGCGCCCATAAGGGGAAGGGACCGCTAGGCTACGTGAAGTGACGTCATTGCTGCGCGATGTTTCTTTGTCCGGGACGACCGAACTGGCGCTCAGCTCAAACATCGCCACTGTTCATGTGTACTCGCATCATTACATCAGAACTAGTGACATTTCAAGTGCATCACGACACTTCCTGCTCACCTTGTAAGTGGGGTTGTCGTACGCAGACTCGGACGGGTTCCTGGTGATGGGCGCCTTGGCCGTCGACTGCCTCCGCAGCAGAAGCACGAGCACCACGGCAAAAGCGAGTCCAGCTACAGCGGCCACTATGGCGACCACGATGAGTGCGATGTAGTACGCCTCGGCCGTGCTGTTGTCCTGGCGTACACTGTGCAGGGCCACGGCTTTGCTGTCTGTCGGTGTACAAAAAAGAGGACAAGGCACATTGTGTCACCATACATTCTACAACATGGCTGAAACGCGAGAACGATATTGGGAGTGAAGTTAGGACTACCTCGAGGGAACATCTACTCATTGAGTCAGCATAATAAACATTTCTGGGCCATTTAACAACAACAACAACAACAACAACAACAACAACAACAACAACAACAACAACAACAATAATAATAATAATAATAATAAAATTGTTAAGAAGAAGACGTAGAAGGAGAAACACTTTTATTTCCACAACAATATGAACCACCGGGGCACGTGCAAGGCTAGACAGAAAGCAAATTCCCTTACGTTCGTGCGTCTGCTATCCCGTCACTTCGAAAGAATGGTTTGATGTTATCCGTCTGGCGCAGTGTTTTCTACACCTGTGTTACCTCCTGATTAAAATACTTGGGCAAGTGAAAATGTCAGAGATGCATCGCTCGTCTATGAAAACGCAGCCGGACATCATACAACATACACTGTCGGGACTCTTTTTTTTTTTTGCCGGCCCTGAATTGCAGCGTATACGACTTTATCTATAGCGAAACACGCGATTTCTCTTCGGAGATCGCTGTACTCCGGTCGGAGATTCGTGAGTCACAAAAGAGTATGTGCGACTCCTCTCGGGAGTCCTGACTTGCAAGCGTATATGCCTTGATAAAGGGCAGGTTAACTCTCTCGTGGGTCCAATTTTAAGAGAGTCACATTGCGAGTCAAGACTACCAGAAAGGAGTCTCATATAATCCCCTCTTTTACAGCCATGTAACTAGTGTTTTTCTATGCTATGTGTTCTTCTGAAGTGTTATTCTATGTTCATTCTAGTGTACGTTACTGCAGCGAGTGGTCTCACCTTCGATCTCGTTCGACTCGGTAGTCGTGCTCGTAGTGGTCGTGGTGGTCGTGGTCGGCGGTGGACCCGGCTTGGTGTGGAAGTCGAGGATATTGGATGTCGTAGTCTTGCCGTTGGTCAGGTAGGCATCCAGCCACACCTTGTACCTGGAGGCATAGATGAATGTTAGGAGCATTCCCTTTGAATAGGGGGAACGGCTAGGGACATTAGTATTCGTACAGCTCTCTCTCTATGCTTTGCAGTTTGTACTAACACGTCCTCGATTATGACACTCTTTCTCTTCCGAAATTTCACGTTAATTGTATTTTTTGTGCGTTTGAGACACGTGTGCATTTTATATGTTACTACCATGATGTTGGGATAGCCGACACTAATGCAGAATGCCTTATAATATTTATATTTATAAATAATAACGTTTCCTTTCATTGTTCCGGATAGAGATGTCAAAATGCAATAAAGATAAATAAAAATATTTTTTTAATCTCTTATAATTGGTTGTTGTTAGGTGTAGGCTGTTTCGATATGACATTAGAAATCTTTATTTTTATTGCCCCACATTCTAGGGTGGCACTACACACCACCCTTGAAACCACCAGAAAAAGTTTGAAATGTTTTGAAGCAATAATTGTTTTGTCACGCTTTTCTGTTCAAATGTTATATGTAATACCAGAGAGTACCGCTTTCAAAGCATCCCTTCGAACGCATTCTCAGAAAGACATTCTATTTTATATTTCTTCGTCAAAAATAATTACGCGGTAGTGCCGACTTGACTGTGACGAGTTAATTAGCCATCACCAGTGAAGGCGTTACCGCGGGCGAGTTGGCTCGAAAACGTTGCACAATGTTGGAGAAGGAAAAAGCAGTCTTGAACAAGATAGATGGTTACGTGGGGTTTGACGGCCCAAAACTGCCATATGATTATCAGAGACGCCGTATAGTGGAGGGCTCCGAAAATTTCGACCACCTAGGATTCTTTAACGTGTGCCCAAATCTGAGCACACGAGCCTACAGCATTTTCGCCTCCGTCGTAAATGCAGCCGCCAACGCCGGGATTCGATCCCGCGACCTGCGGGTCAGCTGCCGGTTACCTTAGCCACGAGATCACCACGGTGGATCAATCCTTAACAAGGGTGACATTTGGCCCAATAAAATCAATAAACGTTATCAATCAACGTTATCAATAAACGTTAAAATCAATCAATCAATAAAACGTTAGATGAATATTATGGTTTGTTCATTTATAAGCATTGCAGCGGGCTCCTACCTGGTTCCGGGCTTCAGGTCTTCAAGCAGGATTTTGGGCTCCTTGAGGATCATGAAGCGCTGCATGTGCTCAGCAGCCGCCTCGCTCTTGTACATGACGTTGAAGACGTGCACGTACTTCGTGATGGGATCCGGTATGCCGTCGAGCACCAGCGAGGCAGAGTACTGCTCGGTCCTCTTGACGTTCACGATCAGCTCGAACTGGTACTCGTCTGCGTCAAATGAAGTAAGGTACAGTTCCGCTACAGTGCGCCAGAAGCATTTGCAACGATCTCGATGAAGTACCAGGCCTAAAACCGACATCGTTTCTCTCTCGTCCTCGAACGAACAACTCGCTTTTACAGACCATTGTGAATTACTGGGTTATATTTTTTGCCGCTGTTTTTTTGCAGTTGTTTATTTTTGACGCTGCTTTTTAGTGCTGCCGTGAGGAACAAACTTCCACGAAAATTAGTAAGAGTAACAGAGATTCCTTAAGTTTAGCAGGAACTGTAAGCGTGGCCCTACCGTCATACTTACGTCACAAAATTTCGTTCAATTAGTGGTACCAAGAATTGTTGAGTTGAAATATATTGTAGTAAGACGGTAAGTTGGGCCAGTTGGTTAGGATGCATCGTGAACTTACTTACAGCGCAACACCAGAAAAAATATAGGACAGGGAAGGATCAAAAGAGAAGGAAAAGATGGCGCTGACTCACAACTGTTGTTTATTTAAAAAAAAAAAAACTATATACTTCTCACCCCGTTTTTTTTTTTCAATAAACAACAGTTGTGAGTCAGCGCCGTCTTTTCTTTCTTTTTGCTCCTTCCCTGTCCTGTATATTTTCTGGTGTTGCGCTGTAAGTAAGTTCACAATTGTTCAGTTGAAACTGTCTATCGTCCTCCCGAACAAAGCTGAAAGCACGATGATTGTGGGCCTAGTGTAGCGTATTTTTATAATGCAATTAACAACATGTATTGTGCAGGCATTGGACTATTGCAGTGCAACCCACACGTAAGCGTCAGCGCGTTCATTGTTAATTTTTTTTTCCTTCCTCTTTCTTCTCCTCTATTTCTCATCTTTCTATTCCCTCTTCCCGCCGCGTAGGGTAGCCAAGTAATCATCCCTAGAAAGAAATCTTGTCAAGCTTTATACTTTTTCCATGTTTTTACGAAGATATTTTTCTTTGCTGTTAAATAAACATGCAGTTGCCAGTCAGCGCTTGCCTGTGTCTCCTCTTTTGTGTCCTCGTGTGACTATCGTGCTGGTCGTACTTCATAATGCAAAACCAACTAGCCCACATCTTCGCTTTATTAAGTAGCCAACCGCACATGCTTCTTCTTAACATCCTTGCCTTCTAAATTTCTGTTTCTTTTCTTCCTCTTTTCTATATTGGACAATATTCACATGACAAGGTCACACCTATACAGTGTTACATAAACCGTCTTGACTTCCGTGGGCACACGCACACATTCCAGCTCCTCGGAACGCTATTCGTAGCACAAGGTTGAAAAGAAAACGCTGTTCTTGCACTAAGTCAGGCAGGTGCAGCAAGGAGTGAAGAAGTCCTCACCTTTCGGCATGGGGGCAGTCCTCATTTCGACGTGCTGCGCCGACTCGATGCGCGTTGGCAGGCCCTCGGGCACGGCGAACTGCATATCGATTAGGTACGACGCGCTGGGCTCCAAGTCTTGCAGGAGGTACGACGTCCGGTCCCTGTGGGAGGAGTGAGTATACCGTGTTTGTTCGTCTACACTTCGGTCAAGAACAAACAACGGCCCCTGCCCCTTCAGGAACTCAGTGTTCTGCCAAACCCTTCAAAACAGCTTCTAACTTAAAGTAGACTGAATCTATATGTGTCTTTGACCTATGCTTTCTGCAATCAATTCCAGGCCACGTGTTTTCGATCTTACACAAAACTTTTGGAGCAGACTGTTTTTGACAAAAGTAGAAAGCTTCGTCTGTGGCGAAACGTACCAGTTTTTTCATTACGAAAAAAAAAAAACCTCCACAAAAATTTATACGCGAGCAGCAGTCATTCCGCCTGCCACCAAGATTGCACGTCTCGCCAGATCAAAAGTTCTCAAACCATCTTTTTTTTTGCAAACGCAGAAAGCCGATAGTATGTAGGGTATCGCGCCCCTTAACCACAATATGATTATGAGGAACGTCGTAATCGAGAGCACCGGCAGTTACAACCATAAGGTGTTCTTCAACACGCACTGAGATTTCGCTGTACACGGACCTCTAGCTTTCCGGCTCCATCTAAATGCGACCTTCACGGCCAAAATCGAATCCGAAACTTTCAAGTCAGCAACCGGGTGCCGTAACCGCTACACCGACGCGGCAGACAACGAAGGAAGTAGGGAGATCAAGCTATCATCAATGTAAATAAAATGTTGCAGAACTGAGATGGCTTGTAATGTGCTCGTGCCCTGCGTCAGCTATTCCATCAGACCGTACAGATAGACGAAACTGCAGACACGGACTTGATCGATAGAGTGTACAATTGCGTAGTTCTACCTTTATGATACTTCACTCCTTTATAACCGACCGACCAACCGACCGATCGGTCGATTGATTGATTGATTGATTGATTGATTGATTGATTGATTGATTGATTGATTGACAGCGCACACGCCATAGTGCTGGACTACGAAGAAAAATTTAGCCTATCGTACGACGCGAAAACCACCGGACAGCAAAGCTCTAAGTACAGTGAGTACGTGTGATTCGCTAGCAAGATCACGCCACATTCAAACTCAAGTGGTGGCACCAACAAAACTTTGATAAAATATAGCCCTTCAACGACCAAGTGTTTTCGCTAGTTATTTACTTGATTGAACAAGCTAACTAGCCGGAGAAACGCCATGACCACTAAATATGTTGTTAAACAGTAATATCATTAAACATGTCGTTACGTACTATCAACATCGATAATATCATTACGCATGTCGTTGCCACTGACTGTGAAATAGCGTCTCCAAAGCTGAGTTTCCGAGCACCCTAACGTTGCACATTCGCCTTTACAATCGGTTTTATCTGATCATAACCAAAGAAAAAGAGAGAGAGAGAGTGCTACCAAGAATCAAAACCGCGACCAACACAGCTCCCTACGTTTTCTCGCCAACAGAGGGTGCAACTGCGGCTTACACTCGAATGCATACGGCAGTCGTGTCGACTCCTCTAGTTCACTGAATATGGCAGAGAAGAGCGTACCGGGTGCTATCTGGCCGTAAATGAGATAGCGGAGGTCAACAGCTCATCGGCCGAAAAGTGATACCCTGGAGGTGCGTGGCCGCCGGGAAGCAATAAGCCCGACGACGAACGTTCACTCAGTTTGGCGGACAGTTCGAGGGTGCGTTATCGATTTCTCGCTCCGCTTGACGTTTATTGGGAAGGACGCCGCTGACAATGCGCACCACTCTATACTGGCAGGAAATGCCATCCAGGACGTTTGCGTTATATGCTAATGAAATTTCGAGAACGAGATAAGTTAACTGCATTCTCGAAGGAAGTCGGTCAGCGGGATGGTTTCCAACACGCGACACAGAAGAAGAAAAACGAAACCATGCTCGACTGCGTACGGGAATGCCAAGGCTGTCGTCACAACCTCAGATTTGCCTTTGCAAGGGGTCCGGGTGTCCCACCTATTTAGCGCTGCCTAGAAAGGATTATGGAGAACCATAGAGAACCATCCACGAAAAGGTCTATAGGCTATCTTATGAATGGCTTTCGGTGCCTCCATATTAGGGCGAAAGCCTTACGCGCCTCACAAAACGCGAAAATTGGCCGGAGTTCCACGTCGGCGGAGTCAACACGAGTGGTGAGAAATATATATAATCATCCCGGGATGACGTCACTACATGATGTGTCACAAATCAGCAAATTTTGTGAAGTCACACAACGCTCGGTGACGTCATCAGACAGCATTGGTTGGTCAAAGGTGGTCCAATCCCGGAGGCCATGGAAACCAACGAGGGGTGAAGAAAGTTTACAATGCCTATAATTCCGGAGGCAACGTGAAATTTTGTTAGCTGCAGAAAGCCTTCGAAATTGTTTTTCGCCATCAAGTCGACTAAGGCGCCCCGCCGCGGTCGTCTAGTGGCTAAGGTACTCGACTGCTGACTCGCACGTCGCGGGAGCGAATCCAGGCTGCGGTGACTGCATTCCTGATGGAGGCGGAAATGTTGTAGGCCCGTATGCTCAGATATGGGTGCGCGTTAAAGAACCCCATGTGGTCGAAATTTCCGGAGGCCTCCACTACGGCGTCTCTCCTAATCATATGGTGGTTTTAGAACGTTAAACCTCACATATCAATCATCAATCAAGTAGACTAAGGCGAATGCATAAGGACCGTTGCGAATTTTGGTGGGCGAAGCTCCCTAAGCCATGGTTCGCGCCTACGCACTGTATGTAGTAGTAGTAGTAGTAGTAGTAGTAGTAGTAGTAGTAGTAGTAGTAGTAGTAGTAGTAGTAGTAGTAGTAGTAGTAGTAGTAGTAGTAGTAGTATGTAGCCACCTCCACGGCCACCTCCAATAAAATTTGCCTTCAATTAGATGCTTACTAAAAAAACTAGTATCAGAAGGACGCACTTCGAGCCCTAGCTGACCAGGAAGGGTTGTCACGTTAAAATCGCTGGGAGTGAGCTCCTTGGTTTTAGCTAGGTTTCGTGAGGGTTGGGCCACAGTACCATGAATATAGTGAACTAGTATATAACCATGATTCTGATGCAATGGCCCGATCACATTTAACGTTACATTTATCCAATCATGTGGCGGCAGCCTTCCGGCGTCATTTCTGCTCGCAGTAGTTCTGGCGAGCCTCATTACGAGTTATTCAGTCAGTGCCAATGTTTTCAAGCGTTAGAGGGCCCCTTTATGAGATTACACACACCTTTCGCTCGGCTTTACCACCGTGTATATTTCACATGCCGAGCATTGTGAAACAGAGGATGATCTCCGTCATGGAGGAATGTAATGAGCGGTTAAATGCGTTTCACGATGCGTTAATCGCGGGGGTTGTTCTCGAATCACAGGCGGTCACAAACGTCGCAGCCGATGTCAATGTGCCACCGGAGAAACTCGCGCCGAAAGCGGTGTTCGGCCCGGCCAACGCGCTCCCGCAATCGTCGCATTGACGCCACAACGCCGCGTTGTTGTAGGCGTCTGACATCGCGAGCCAACTCGGCGGGGAGGTGTCAGGAGGAACAGTTGCGAGCGGGCTCGCGCCATTGCTGCGACTAAGTCACTCACAACGCAGCCAATGGCGTACGTGCTTTGGAGCGACGTAAATGGTAACACAGCCAATGGAAAGCGCTTACGACACCGCTACCGGACAGTTTTTCGTTTCTCCTAGCCATATAGTTTTCGCCGTAAGACACCTACAAGCACAAACCGTTTATGCTAGGCTATACTAGTTTATACTTGTTTATACTAGCCTAAACTAGTTTACACTATAGTTTAGGCTCCAACATAGACATCATGGACCTTGCGATCTAGCTTATTCGTCGGCTCTTTATGGCATTTTGTGTTACCCAATTTTACATCATGTGGAGCAACGCTCGGGTAATGCACGGTTACTCATCAATACGATACCTAGAGTTTAATCCACTCGTCATTATTCACTTCGTGGATAGTAAGCGATTTTTCGCCCTGCCTGTGGGATCGGCCCACCATTGACCAATGAAAGGTGTCGTGTGACGGTGCCATGTGACGTCACTGTGTGAGTGACGTCACTACAGCAACATCCTCACTTATATTCATCACTTTTGTTGATGCTGAACGCCAATTTTCGCGTTTGATCACGTATTTAAGGATTTCCCTTCATATCACTCGTGAATGAAGGACAAACTACGGCAGGTTCTCAACCTTATTTACTAGCATAGCCATTTGGAATTCATTGCCTTTCGAATTGAAATCATCGCATAACATCCATATTTTCACTTCGCGTAGTAAGAAATATTACGTTCAGGAATTAATCAACTCATCCGATTTGTGTAATTAACTGTTAATAGCTTTCCACAGTTCTGTGCTTTTTTACTACTTCAATTTTCCATTGTATAATTGATAACACTGATAATGAAACGTGTTGCATTTGTCACGTAGAGTTCATTAATATTGTTTTTGTCTTAACTTGCTTTTGATTGTTTCCTTGTTATTTTTCAATAGTGAGTATTACCATTATGTTGTGTATTGATCGTGTTTTTATTGTTAATCAAGATTATTCATTATTACTCACAAGACCGTATACTATTGCTGTATTTTTTTGTAATTACCCCATCCATGTAGCCATAGGAGGTCCCCCTGTCAGTTTCTCTGAAACTTTGGGACCTCCTGCTGTAATAACGCTAACCATGTAACTCAACTGAACTATTTAATAAACTTGACTTGACTTGACTTGAATCGACTCTACTGCTGGCAAACACGTCCAATCACAGGCACCATTATTTTCGAGGGAAGCTTGCTGCTGTCATAATATAGAGTACCTAGAGCTCTAAATGTTGTTCATTCGCGTCCAAGCATAATACGACTCAAAGTCTTTCACTCGTACCGATTTCCCTCCCATCCGAGATATTCTATGAATGACGAATTCTTTTCGGTCACTGCATGCAGGCTGAGGTTGTTTTAGCACCTAATAACGCGCACTTCCAATACATAAAAAAATAAAGTCCCTTTATGCATTTAGCTAAGCTGATTCGAAGACGAAAGCCATTTTCTGTTTCTTCTTAATAATTTGGAAATCCTAATTCACATTTAAAAAAAAATCGTGATATCGATCTCTTGCAACGCTCATCGGCTTCATAGTGAGTTTTCGAGTAGGGGCCGCGAAATGCTCTTATCTCACCACCCCCTCCCCTTGCCCCTCCGGCACCTTTTTCTCCTTTCTCCGCTTCCCGACAAAACCGGTCAGTGCGTTTGATCTCTGCTTGAGTCGCGTCTGCCCACAGCCTCCAAAAGCTTATCTAATTGCTACAGAGCAATTCGAAAAGAGGAACAGCCAGTTGACCAACCTGTGTATCATGGGCGTGGTCTTCCAGGGCGCGTGGTCCTGGCCGTTCATCTTGTAGCGAATCTGCAGTCCGTCAATGTACTTCTTCTCGCGACTGTCCAGCGGCCGCCACGACACCTTGGCCGAGTGTGGGTCGATGCTGTTGACGGCCATCATCATGTCCAGCAGCAGCAGCGGAGGCACCGTGGTCGTCGTTGTAGGCTCTGTAATGCACAACAGATAATGAGTTGTACTGCATAACAGGTAACGTAGTTGATAACAGGTAATGCCTATATATAAACTTCTCTTCTTCTGATTCTTTATATGCTATGCTTTACTCTGCCCTCTTTACCCTCCTCCTTAAGCCCACTTCCGTTTCCACCCCTTGCAGTGCAATACTATACAAAGCTACCCTATGTTCTACTAGCATTACGATCAGAAATACGAGCGCGATACGTAGACAGCACCGTGGTAGACAGGGACCGGAAAGACACGGACAGGTGCCTGTACCCTGTCCACGTATCGCGCTCGTTTTTCAAACCATCATGAATCACCTACTCACCCAACAAACCATTTTGACAAGTTGTACTTCTAGCATGGCTGGAGAGCCAAGTGGCTAAAAGCCGAGCTCCACTGTTAACAGAGTTGCTAGCCATTGTGTTTGGGTGCGATGAGTGTGATGTGAAATCGGCCTTAAAAGAAACCTGAAGCAGTTTTGGAATTCCGAAAAATTTTGTGGTCACATTATCGTTGCCAATGTTTTAATTTTAAGTTTTTCTTTCATTGTTGCCACAGGAGCTTCAGAAAATATGTAAAAAAATGTTTACTCTGTACACACTAAAGTGTCGAAAGTATATAGTCGTTGAAAACAAGCCAACCGTAACTACGTTACATTCGATACCACTGACGGAGCCAACTTGCACTCCAATGGAAGGGTCGCGCTGCTTACTCATCTCAACTGACTACGAAAGCGCTGTTCGTTTACCAGAAGCTCAATTATAGAGATGCTGTATGTCCCGCAGCTGGATTGCAATATTTGCAAACAACTAGCAGCCAAAGCGCAGAGCGAACCCTTTTATCTTTAAGTGTGACCTCCGTGATTAGCTCCGGCTGCGCGCCATTTCCAAAGCTAACGCGAAGGTCATGCTTCAGCCGTGCTGCAACAGTAGACGCTGTATACCGAATATTACGTCATCGCGTTCACTTAGAGTCCAGACACCTGGCTCTGTTAGCAAGAGTTTTTTTTTTGTCGTAAAATGTGCCCCCCTCAGTTTTTAAAACACTCGCACTGGCATTCGGGCTCAGCAGTTAACTATCTGCAATTGCACGCTTCAAAATCATGGCACTTCAGTTTACGTTTAAAAGCAGAACTCGGCATTGCCTCACAAGTTTATCTATCAATAAGTCCAGACTATGCAGTACGTAGGCAAACGTAACTTCAACAAACGTACCAGGAGGCATGGTGAGCTTGAAGACCTGGCTCTCCGGTCCGGACTGAAGCGAGTCGATGATGATCTGGATCTGGAAGAAATACGTGGTGTCCGGACGCAGGCTGGACAGGTAGTACTCGATGTTGGCCGTGTCGAACAGCCTCTTCGGTCTGGCGAACTTCTGCGTGCTCCAGGTCTCCCGCGGCGTCAAGGGATCCGTGGTGAAGTGCAGCTCGCGATGTCCCACCAGGCCGATGAGGATGTTGGCCAGGGTGAAGCGCACCCGTATCGTGGTCGAGTTCACGGCTACGACGCTCACGTTCTGAAGTTCCTTGCCTGGTGTGGGCATCGAAGAATAGAGTGGTCAGTGGTGCCTCATAATCTCTTTTGTTATATTTCGGTCCACTCTCTTTTGTAGTTTACAGCACTCCCCTTCAATTTATTGCAATTTGTGACACAATTGGAAGAGTACAGTAACCTACAACAATTAGGGTTCTATGTAGTTTCCCTTGCCAAAATGTCTGTTCCATTCATATATATAGATGTGTGTAACAATAAACAAGCCCCTACTAGAAACATTTTCCGTTTTCTCCTGCCCTCTATAATGCATACGTCGGGATGTTGCTCCGAGCGAAAAAAGAGTAAACTGATTCCGATGCGTTTGTCATACTATTAAACTATACATTAGTAAACAAAGAAAATTGGTGCTGAGCTAGTTTGAAGGAAATGCTGAGCTAATAAAAAATTAAAAAATTACTTAAAAATAAATAATTATTTTAAAGGAAACGCTGAGCTAATTTAAAGGAAATGTTTAAGAAAAATGTCACGTAAACTTTTGTATATTTTCATGAAATATGCTAGACGGAAATCCTAATGCTTTAACAAAATAAGTAAAAAATAAGTTTATAGTGATTACTTAATATACAATTTATTTATCTATCGTGTGGTGGCTCTGACGTTCCTAACCAACAACACCAATGTATTTGTGTTCTTGCTGTATTTCTGCTCATACTATAAAAATGTGATAACGTTGCCTTTAGCGGCGGTTCCATATCACCCAGTGCCCTGCAGTTTAAATATTTAATTTAATAAACATAGTGACAAGAACAACGTTTGACGTGCTTTTGAGCACAGTAATTTCCGCGCTAAGTTTCACATCCAATAAAACTGGGACAAATTGTTTTTATTGTTTCAGCCATGTAGATCTAATTTGTTAAAAAGAATATATGAAATTGTAGCTAAGCGTAACGTTCATTGGCACGCAGTAATTAGTTACTGGTTTGTTGAATTATCCGAAGCCGAGACACGGTTAATATACATCCGTGGCCATGTCGGTGTATAGCGCACGAGCAGCCGGCCTTGCCTTACTGTGCGACACCTTGCGGCCGTTGCGGGTTGTGACGATGCGTGCGCAGGAGCATGCGAAGCCTCACAAACATGCAGGCCTGCTCTGCACGGGTGGCAACGTTGGAAGGTGTGCTTGTCTAACCGAAGATCCGCGCTCGCTCAGGGCGCTTTCATCATTTTTTATAAGACGAAACGCGTTTCGACTGATTACACACGCCGACGCACTATTTGTGGTTGTCTAGATTTTATTTTTTAGCAGCTGTTGACATTATCATGTCTTAATATAATCGCGTGCCTCAAAACAGCCACAAAGCGTGCATCGTTGATGTAGGCGCGTGTTATATTTCGAAACGCGGATCGTTTAATGAAACAGATGTGACAAAAGCGCCCTGAGGGAGCGCCGATCTTCGGCTAAAACACTTTCCTCCGCTGTAACCAGTGCAGAGCATGTCTGCATGTCTGTAAGGCCGCCATGCTCCTGCGCACACGACGCCACAACCTGCAACGGCCGCAAGGTGCCGCGCCGCGCACAGAAAAGCCGGCCGCTCGCGCGCTACACACGGACGTGGCCGTGGCTGTACATCAGAAACGCAACTATGGACTTCATTTGCCATACGTGCTGAAGACGCATCTTTACACGTTTCTCCTATCTTGGTGAAGCTTAGTTCCTAGCCTACTGTTATAAATATTCAAGTCAGATTTTGCACTGCGAATTTTATTGCATGTATTCATCGCAAACCTCACCTACGTCCATTACTATAAAATGTAATAGAATGAACGCACTGTCAGTCATTGGATTGACCGACAATGCGGGATGCGACGTGGGCGGCACAGAAGAAGACATCGACCATCTGCTATGCCGTTGCCTTCGGTTTGCCTCTGAAAGACAGAAGCTTTCTGACGCATTGCGACAATTGAACGATCGGCCACTCACTATGCAAATGCTACTGGAGCACCGTTCTCATCTTTCGTCGGCTCAAAAGACAGCAAAGCCGTCTTGCGCTTTTGGGGACTACAGGCCTATGTGAACACCTTTAACTTTTGTGTAGTGCCACCGCTGCATACGCGTCAGCCCATTGACTAGCAATGCTTTTTTTCTGTTTTCGTCTCTTTCTATTCTCTTTCCTCTCTGTCTCTCTCTCTCTCTCATCTTTATACTCCCCTTCCCATTCTCCCAGCGTAAGGTAGCAAACCGGGCATTTGTATGGTTAACTCCCTGCCTTCTCTTTTGTTGTTCGTGTCCTCCTGTCCTGCACTTGGGTACATCTGTTCATGATACCTTATACTGTAACCATTGTACTACCTGCAACGCAGCCGTATGGCTTATTAGTGCAATGTAATAGCCACTAAAGCATTACTGTAGACAATCTACCACACAAATATGCACCTCTCCTGGTGTATATAGTGAGAGATAAGGTGTTCGTGGGACACCTTGGAGAGACACCGGTCTATGGAAGAACTAACCAGCATGCATGCCTCCCAGGCATGATTGGAAGTGGGTGACTGACTTACACCTTTGTTACAAGTATTTTCCACCCCACAAACTACAACTATTAGATTAACTGGTGACGTGGTACAAGACCATACCATCTCAACTTCACAACCACTGTATCACTAGGGCGGAGAGTGTGCCACATATGAATGTGCATGATGTTGCAGAGTCATGCCACAAATCGATGGTCCGGCCGTGTGGAACATCTTAGCAGCGTAATTCGATTGCCCAAAAGCCATCAAGCACTTGAATCATTGCTAACATTTATCGCTTTGGTTTCACGCGCCTAAACCAAGATATGATTAGGAGGCGCGCCATAGCGGAGAACTTCGTAATTCCGATCCTTTAAGGTTCTTCAACGTGCACCCGCATCTAAGCACACACTGGTTCTTTGCACTTTCCTCAAATCGAGATCCGGCTGCGGCGACCAGGAATCTACCCTCGTCTTCGAGCTTAGCTGCGCGCCACCTAATGTGCTAACCCACCACGCCAGGCACTTGGATTGTTTGTAGACAGACTTCACATGAATAACTCCCCTAGGGTATGTGATCATAGCTCCATAGTTAACAAAATATCACAGATACTGTAACCATCGTAGTGCATGACTACGTGGGAGTCGTTCTTGGCAGCTCAACTTCGTAGTGATGCCATTACGATATGGTAATCAGTTACTGAGGCGCGCATATACTCGTACTGTCAAACAACAAGAACTGTAAACATTGTATTACCTGGCTACATGTGACTAGATCTTAGCAGCTCAACGTAATAGTGACGTCATTAACATGAGTCAATCAACTGCTAGTTGTGTACCCACTAACAATGTCCGACAACACATACTGTACCCTGGCTATGTGGGACTAGTTCTCTGCAGCACGATGTCGTAGTCACGCCGTTACCACGTAATAATCAACCACAAGGATGTTCAACCCTTAAGAGCGTCATACGGCACATCCATCACCATATTTATCAATTGACTACGTAGGACTCAGTGGCTCAGTCAGTACCTCGTGATAATAAACCACCTACAGGCGAGCACCCGTTCGCTGTGTCGTATTGTATATACGGTAACGATCACATTCCCTGGTACATAAGACTAGATCTTAGAAGCTCGACGACATAGACGCGTCATTCACGTCATTAACTCAACGTAATCTACTACTAGTATGAGCAACCGTTAACACTATAAGACTACACTGCCCTCTCCGTCATTACTAGCTGGCTGTGTATAATGACTAGGCCATACCAGTTCGATGTCATAGTGAAATCATTACCATGGGGTAATCAAGCATTAGAGTGTGCATTCCGTTCATACTTTCACACCACATATACCCTAACTATAGCATTACTTGTCTACATGAGACTGCATTTTAGCTCAAGGTCATTGTCCTGTCATTGCCATGTGGCTATCAACAACTATAGTACGTGCACCTGTTCACATTATCAGATGATACATACCATAACTATGGTATTACCTGGCTAGATTAGATGAGATGTTAACAGCGGAGTGTCATAAATATCAGGTGGTAATACTTATACTCCTGTGCGCACATTTTAGCAGTGGCAGACCACAAACATTTTGTAACTATTTGCCTATGTGGGACCGGAGCTAAGCAACACAGACATAGTCCAGTTACTACCAAGGGGTGGTGTACCACTCTTAAGTGCGCCTACTAACCATGTCACACCAGATATACTGTAATTATCGTATTACCTGACTATGTCGGACTGTATCTCAGCGGCGTCATGTCCTTGTAACATCACTTTCATGAGGTAATAATTCAGCAGGGTGTGTACTCGTTAACAATGTCAGGCCACGTTTTCATCGCCATCATTATTATCTGACTGCGCAAGACTAGTCATCAGTAGCTGCGCGTCATGTTCACGTCGTTACTACGAGGGAATAAACTGAGGGGCGTGCATATGTGCGTGCTTTCGAAACACAGAGACTATAACCGTAGTAGCAACAGCTGGCTACGTGGGGATAGACGTTAGCCGCTCAATGTCACAGTGACATTATTACCATCTGGTAATCAAGTACTAGAGCGTGCATCTGTTCATGCTGTCAGACCACACCTACTGCAACGATCATTGCACTATACCTGGCTGCGTGAGACTAAATCTTAGCAGCTCATTGTCATATAATGTAATTAACAAGAGGTAATCGACTACTACATAGTGTACGTACCCGTTAACTCTGTCAGACATTACTGCCATCACCATCAAGACTAACTGGCTGAGTATGACCAGGCCTTAGCATCTTAGAGTCGCATTCAGGGGACTACGAAACGGTATAATACCGTTCCCACGTTCATATCCATTCAGTCTCACAGCACACAAACCGTTAACCGTGGTATATTACCTGGCTGCGTGGGACTACAGACAATGTAGGGGCAGACTCCGGGGTCGTTGGGCGTGACGACCACGGGCCGCGGGCACTGCGGGTTCGGCTTTTGGAACCGCTCGGGGATGGGCGGACACGAAGACGTGCACTCGGCCT